CTTTCTTTCTTTCTTTCTTTCTTTCTTTCTTTCTTTCTTTCTTTCTTGCTAGGCAATGGGGTTCGGTGACTTGCCTGGGGTCACACAGCTAGTAAGTATTAATGTGTCTGAGGCCGAATTTGAACTCAGGTCCTCCTGACTCCAGGGCTGGTGCTCCATCCATTGTGCCACCTAACTGTCCCTATCTTGCATTTCTGCTTTAGATTTGTGAGCACTCAGATTCACTCCAACTGCTCCTTGGGAACCTAGTTCCCTGTTGACTTTTGTAAGCCTTTATTATAGTATTTAGCTTGTTTTAAGCCTAGGGGAAATATAATGGTTCCTGAGGTCCATGTGGTTCCCTCCTCTAGGGCTTTAGGGAATTTATTTTTGGTAGTACAGTGGCTAGAGCACTGGTCTGAAGTCAGGAAGACTCATCTTCTCAGACATTTACTAGTTGTATGACCCTGGGCAAGTCACTTAACCCTGTTTGCCTCAGTTTCCTCATCTGTAAAATAAGCTGGAGAAGGAAATGGCAAGCCACTCCGGTATCTTTACCAAGAAGACCCCAAAAGGATTCACGAAGAGTTGGACAGACACAATTGAAACAACTGAACAACAAACAACAACAACAACAATAAATTTTTGATGAAAAGTTAGGAGTATAACCACAGTTACTAGGAGCCCTCAGGAAGATTCCTAACATTTAGATAGAGAGATAGCTCTCTAGCTTAATTTATCCTTATATGTAGCTCTGCTTAGTTCCTGGCCTCTTTGGAGCTGAGGCAAAATTCAGGTTGCTGGAAATGTTTGAATAACAAAGCAACAGATTTTATTACAGTGTTTATGGATAGATAGGGCTTGGGTAAGGAAGTTGGAGACAGAACAAACTCTTTTCTTGGAATTTCCCTCAGTCCTTGGTGGATGGAACTGGTACTTCTGCTATTTCTGGTGGCAGATTCAAGCTGAATCTTTGGCTCTGAGATACCTCTAGGGCTGATGGCTCTCCTCAATCTTTCTTTTCTCTTCCATAACTCAGTCCTGTCTTCTTTCTCCTTTTGCCCCTGTGTTGCTGGCTCTTTCTGTCTAAGTTCTGTGTATCCTACTCCTTTCTCTCTGCATCCAGACCCTCTCAACCTCTATATGGCTCTGAAATAGCTCCACCTTTTTATGCACATTCCTCCAGGCATGATCAAGTGTCTTGTGCAATGGCTTTGATTGATTCAAGGAGGTTTACAGGCCCTGTTTACACTCAGTTCTGATAGATTGTTTTAACCAGGCAGTGCATGTTTTTACCTAACAAGGCAATGGAGCCTCACCGTTACACTTGTCAGTGTCTTCTGGAAGTCCCAATAAGCAGTCTGTGGGGAGAAATTTATACTGGTGACAGTAGGTAGAATATTCACCTAGGGAATCAGAAAACTTGGGGAATCTAGCCCTTTCCACCATTTGCTTGGGTGATCCTGGGGAAATTTACCTTCATTGTAGGATCATAGAATTTAGGGACAGAAGAAATCTTAGAGAGTGAACAACTCAAGACCTTCATTTTACAGATAAGGAAACTGAGGCTCAGAGGGATCATTGCTGTGTCCCCCACACTTTCCTCACCTAACAGAAAACAATGACTTCTTCTCTCCTTCGCACAAGAGTGGGTGAAATCAGGGATGTGGGTCAGCCTGCATGGCTTATGTCTATATATAGCCCATAGCTCATTTTCAGAGAATTGCCCAGCTACAGACTAGGTCCTCATTTCTCTGTCAGTACATTTACTGGGTCAAAGTTAAGCTGAAATTTCTATATTATACTGGCAAATTTGTAAAAAAAAATTTTGTTTTTTTTAATAAAAAGTTTGCTATTTTATAGGTAGGTACGTTTTTTTTTTCTTTCTAAAATTGGGAAGTCTCTGGGGGGTTGGGTATAAATTGATGACATGGTTAAGTGAATTTAATGTTGAAATAAGATTCATGTAGATGACAAATGTAGTAGTACCCAGGATCAAAAATAGAACTAATAGATTTAGAGCTAGAAGAGAGTTTAGGTTACCTCGTCCAACCTTTTCATTTTTTGAGATGAAGAAACTGAGGCCCAGAGAGGTTAAATAACTTTCCCAAAGTCTCATAGATAGTTAAGTGGTAGAAGGAAGGTTTGAACCTATGTCCTCTGACCACGAATCTCTTTCCACTGTATCATGATGTCTCAAATGTTAGGACAAGGGGTCCAAAATTACTCACAGTAGTGCCCCAGAACCTTCGACCCAACGAATCTCCTTCTTTCAGACCAATCAAGATTTATCACACAACCTCAAATTATAGTAGTGAGAGAAAGAGTATTTAACTCTAATAGAAAATACTGTGATATTAAGAAAATACTTCAAATGCAAGTACTCTGTAAGGTCCATGACCCTAAGCATACCTTCTTACTTCCTTTTAACTCCCCAAGGCTGGAAGTTTGTGAGTCCAGCATGGGCCTGGCCCCAAATCCAGGAGAGGGAAGCTATAAACCTTGGGGTAACAACGGGTCTTTGGTGTGAACACAGAAGGAACTCTATCTCAACGTCTGGGCTGCCAGTGCTGGGCACCTCACTGAAGGCTGACCGGTCAGGAATCAATTGCTGCTGCTTCTCTCACAGATGGAATGAGGTAACCCATGCTGGGCAGCAGAACCAAATCCTTAGGCTTGAAAGAGATGCAGCATATGGGTGCCTTTACCTAGCCAGTCAATCTCCTTTCTCCCCTTCTGTCTTCTTCCCAGGACCTTTTTTTCTTTTTTAAACTCCCAGCTTCAAAAAAAAAAAAAAAAAAGAAAGCCCTGTTCTACAAGGCCTATAAATACCTCCTTGGATAGGAAGAGTCTTTCTGGTCCCAAAGATTGATGGGATTGGAATCCTCACTACAGAATTGGGAAGGAAAGATACTGGTGTACAGTTGAAAGAGTTTGTATCTGGATAATTGTGTTTTCTTCTCCCTCATCCCCATTTATATGCAGGGTTCTCATTGGCACAATGAGGAAGCTCAGACTCAGACACAGAAAGGTTTACTTCTCTCTCAAATTGGATACTAAGAACTGGGGAGGGAGATCAAGGGGGGGGGAGTGAAATAGGGAGCCATTAATTCACACAACTGTAATTTTACTTATTTTTTTATTGGATTTCCTGAAAAACAAAACCATCTCCTTTCTAAATCTCTCAGAATTCAAACAGACATCCCAAGAGTTTTCAAAACAGGGTCATGGGAATGTCCTGATAGCAGAGAACTAGCAGGTAACCTTCCTATAACTCATACCAAGTCTCCTACCCTTTTCTGCCTACTACTGCAAGGTAAAAAAAAATAAAATAAAATAAAAAAATAAAGTCTGGCAAAGAAAGTACCCAATGTGAGGGTTTATTAGTGTTTAATTCACTCTTCTCCACCTGTCTGAAGTACCCTCATCAAATTCTGAAGGAAACTGAAATAACAGAACAAAAACAACGCTTTAAAAAAAAGTTTGAAAATCCCCAAATTTACAAAAGCAAGCCAACCATTCTATCTTAATATCAACTGAACAGAAATTCTGCCGGGTAATTGGTTTGCTCCTAAGTTTCTACCCATCTAAGTGATTAGCACAGCTCCTGGAACATAATAGGCAATTAATAAATGCTCATTCCCTTTTTGTTTCTCCTCCCATCTGCAAATTGGCAGGCCTCTGTAGTCGGGCTGGGGACCAGGCTCAGATCAAAATA